TTATATATATAGGATACAATTAAGATATTGACTTAAGCAGAGTAGGCTGTCAAAAATAGGGTTGGTAATGAAATCAGAAATGCACAATTTATTTTTCTAGGCCAAACAGATGTTTATATACAAAGAAAAGGAAAGACAGTAAACAAGGAATACAATTATCTTTCTATATAACCGGTTTACTTATGCATACCTTATGTGTCAAACCTGTTCAGTACATTGTATGATAGGCTGTAGTGCTGTATGCACCTTTCAGAAAGTATGTATATATATATTGTATGTTATTTCTAATGAAGTTTCTGTTGGTTTACTTTCACAGCTGGTGGAATGTGTTTCAAATTCTCTGGAAAGTTACTTCACAGGAGCAGACAAAAATGAACTGCAGGTAAGGAAATTGCGCAATTGAACTTAAGGTAATGAAGAACCGATCAAAATCTTCAAGTGAGGAAATGGCACAATTGAACTTCAGGTAATTAAGAACTGATACAAAATATCTACAGGTAAGAAACTGATGCAGATGTATTTTAGAGGTAAATAAGTGGTATAAATTAACTTTGGTAAGGACTTAACAAAACAAATAATTTACATTTATACATATAATGCCTTTGGCAGATTTATTTTGATTATCCTAACTACCAATGCATGATTAACTTGTAAAAGTTGATGAAATTCTTAAACATATATTGATACTTAAACTGGGAGTGTAGAACAAACAAAAGTATGTTAACTAAATACATACGATTGGTGTTACATTAGCACATGAAACATTTTGTCTTCTGACAGTATGCAACAGAGCTGGACTGTGCCCACTCAGAGTTTAAGAAGACCCTGCCTATTAACCCTGATGAAAGAAGTGACCTTAAACTCACTGGTATGTGTCTTACTCCGTCTCAATGACCATACATGTAAGGATGATTTTATAATCAGTCTAAAAGACTGTACCTATAAGGATGACTGTCTTATTTAATCTCAAGGGCCATACCTATAAGGATGATTTTATAATCAGTCTAAAAGACCATACCTATAAGGATGACTGTCTTAATTAATCTCAAGGACCATACATATAAGGATGATTTTATAACAGTCTAAAAGACCTTACCTATGTAGATGTCTTAGTCTCCAGGACTGTACACATGTAGATGTCTTAGTCTCCAGGACTGTACACATGTAGATGTCTTAGTCTCCAGGACTGTACACATGTAGATGTCTTAGTCTCCAGGACTGTACACATGTAGATGTCTTAGTCTCCAGGACTGTACACATGTAGATGTCTTAGTCTCCAGGACTGTACACATGTAGATGTCTTAGTCTCCAGGACTGTACACATGTAGATGTCTTAGTCTCCAGGACTGTACACATGTAGATGTCTTAGTCTCCAGGACTGTACACATGTAGATGTCTTAGTCTCCAGGACTGTACACATGTAGATGTCTTAGTCTCCAGGACTGTACACATGTAGATGTCTTAGTCTCCAGGACTGTACACATGTAGATGTCTTAGTCTCCAGGACTGTACACATGTAGATGTCTTAGTCTCCAGGACTGTACACATGTAGATGTCTTAGTCTCCAGGACTGTACACATGTAGATGTCTTAGTCTCCAGGACTGTACACATGTAGATGTCTTAGTCTCCAGGACTGTACACATGTAGATGTCTTAGTCTCCAGGACTGTACACATGTAGATGTCTTAGTCTCCAGGACTGTACACATGTAGATGTCTTAGTCTCCAGGACTGTACACATGTAGATGTCTTAGTCTCCAGGACTGTACACATGTAGATGTCTTAGTCTCCAGGACTGTACACATGTAGATGTCTTAGTCTCCAGGACTGTACACATGTAGATGTCTTAGTCTCCAGGACTGTACACATGTAGATGTCTTAGTCTCCAGGACTGTACACATGTAGATGTCTTAGTCTCCAGGACTGTACACATGTAGATGTCTTAGTCTCCAGGACTGTACACATGTAGATGTCTTAGTCTCCAGGACTGTACACATGTAGATGTCTTAGTCTCCAGGACTGTACACATGTAGATGTCTTAGTCTCCAGGACTGTACACATGTAGATGTCTTAGTCTCCAGGACTGTACACATGTAGATGTCTTAGTCTCCAGGACTGTACACATGTAGATGTCTTAGTCTCCAGGACTGTACACATGTAGATGTCTTAGTCTCCAGGACTGTACACATGTAGATGTCTTAGTCTCCAGGACTGTACACATGTAGATGTCTTAGTCTCCAGGACTGTACACATGTAGATGTCTTAGTCTCCAGGACTGTACACATGTAGATGTCTTAGTCTCCAGGACTGTACACATGTAGATGTCTTAGTCTCCAGGACTGTACACATGTAGATGTCTTAGTCTCCAGGACTGTACACATGTAGATGTCTTAGTCTCCAGGACTGTACACATGTAGATGTCTTAGTCTCCAGGACTGTACACATGTAGATGTCTTAGTCTCCAGGACTGTACACATGTAGATGTCTTAGTCTCCAGGACTGTACACATGTAGATGTCTTAGTCTCCAGGACTGTACACATGTAGATGTCTTAGTCTCCAGGACTGTACACATGTAGATGTCTTAGTCTCCAGGACTGTACACATGTAGATGTCTTAGTCTCCAGGACTGTACACATGTAGATGTCTTAGTCTCCAGGACTGTACACATGTAGATGTCTTAGTCTCCAGGACTGTACACATGTAGATGTCTTAGTCTCCAGGACTGTACACATGTAGATGTCTTAGTCTCCAGGACTGTACACATGTAGATGTCTTAGTCTCCAGGACTGTACACATGTAGATGTCTTAGTCTCCAGGACTGTACACATGTAGATGTCTTAGTCTCCAGGACTGTACACATGTAGATGTCTTAGTCTCCAGGACTGTACACATGTAGATGTCTTAGTCTCCAGGACTGTACACATGTAGATGTCTTAGTCTCCAGGACTGTACACATGTAGATGTCTTAGTCTCCAGGACTGTACACATGTAGATGTCTTAGTCTCCAGGACTGTACACATGTAGATGTCTTAGTCTCCAGGACTGTACACATGTAGATGTCTTAGTCTCCAGGACTGTACACATGTAGATGTCTTAGTCTCCAGGACTGTACACATGTAGATGTCTTAGTCTCCAGGACTGTACACATGTAGATGTCTTAGTCTCCAGGACTGTACACATGTAGATGTCTTAGTCTCCAGGACTGTACACATGTAGATGTCTTAGTCTCCAGGACTGTACACATGTAGATGTCTTAGTCTCCAGGACTGTACACATGTAGATGTCTTAGTCTCCAGGACTGTACACATGTAGATGTCTTAGTCTCCAGGACTGTACACATGTAGATGTCTTAGTCTCCAGGACTGTACACATGTAGATGTCTTAGTCTCCAGGACTGTACACATGTAGATGTCTTAGTCTCCAGGACTGTACACATGTAGATGTCTTAGTCTCCAGGACTGTACACATGTAGATGTCTTAGTCTCCAGGACTGTACACATGTAGATGTCTTAGTCTCCAGGACTGTACACATGTAGATGTCTTAGTCTCCAGGACTGTACACATGTAGATGTCTTAGTCTCCAGGACTGTACACATGTAGATGTCTTAGTCTCCAGGACTGTACACATGTAGATGTCTTAGTCTCCAGGACTGTACACATGTAGATGTCTTAGTCTCCAGGACTGTACACATGTAGATGTCTTAGTCTCCAGGACTGTACACATGTAGATGTCTTAGTCTCCAGGACTGTACACATGTAGATGTCTTAGTCTCCAGGACTGTACACATGTAGATGTCTTAGTCTCCAGGACTGTACACATGTAGATGTCTTAGTCTCCAGGACTGTACACATGTAGATGTCTTAGTCTCCAGGACTGTACACATGTAGATGTCTTAGTCTCCAGGACTGTACACATGTAGATGTCTTAGTCTCCAGGACTGTACACATGTAGATGTCTTAGTCTCCAGGACTGTACACATGTAGATGTCTTAGTCTCCAGGACTGTACACATGTAGATGTCTTAGTCTCCAGGACTGTACACATGTAGATGTCTTAGTCTCCAGGACTGTACACATGTAGATATCTTAGTCTCCAGGACTGTACACATGTAGATGTCTTAGTCTCCAGGACTGTACACGTGTAGATGTCTTAGTCTCTGGGACTGTACATACATGTATGTAGATGTCTTAGTCTCCACATTTGGTTAACCCATATGATTTGTGCAGATTAAGTCTGTAAGAGATTAATCCTTTATATGATATTTTACATTAAATAGATGATCTTAGATTGACAAGATTTTTCTTCTCTATTTCAGTCAAAATATTCCTTTGTCGGATGATGCGCCCAGAGGTCATCAAGGAGGCAGTAGAGAATGGTATGCACCTTTGTTCCTGTTTATCTAGATAAATAATTTGATTTTCACGTTCCTATATGGAATAAAAAACAGCTGGCAGTATATTAATTACCTAACACAAAAAATACTGTATACCAGGACACTTTCAACCAGTCAATTCGCTATTCGCCCAGTTAAATATTTGCCTTTCACTGGTAAAATCGCTATTCGCCCTGTTAAATATATGCCATTCACTGGTAAAATGGCTATTCACCCTGTTAAATATTTGCCTTTCCCTGGTAAAATCACTATTCGCCCAGTTAACTATTTGCCTTTCACTGGTAAAATCGCTATTCGCCAAGTTAAATATTTGCCATTCACTGGTAAAATCGCTATTCGCCCTGTTAAATATTTGCCATTCACTGGAAAAATAGCTATTCGTCCAGTTAAATATTTGCCTTTCACTGGTAAAATCCCTATTCGCCCAGTTAAATATTTGCCATTCACTGGTAAAATCGCTATTCGCTCAGTCAAATATTTGCCATTCACTGGTAAAATCGCTATTCACCCTGTTAAATATTTGCCTTCCACTGGAAAAATCGCTATTCGCCCAGTTAAATATTTGCCTTTCACTGGTGAAATCGCTATTCGCCCAGTTAAATATTTGGATTTAAGGCTTTAAGATACTTACTGCCTCTGAACCAGGATTCAAGACTTTAAGATACTTACTGTCTCTGTACCAGGATTCAAGGCTTTAAGAACATACGAGGCCATACCAGAATTTATACCAACACAATATATTATTGTTTTATAAAAAATGATTAAGTGTGTATGTTTTTTTGTTGTATGTATTTATTAGTGTTGTTGGAGCTGAACTCATCTAATGTGGATGTGGTGCTTTTGGCTTTCCCTGAGCTGGACGAGGAAGGAATCACATTAGAAACCATTAAACCATATTGGAATGTCCTGCAGGATCTAAATGTGACACGTGTAGTCCATTTCTTAGGCATATCTGACCTTGACAAGGTCGTCCTAGAAGAGCTGTTTAACTGGGCAACAGTAAGCTTTCTTATCAACATTATCACCTAACTTTGATATTATTAACATGGGAAATGTGCGGTATTCTTGTCAAATGACATTTTCTATTAAATCATCAATCTGATTTTAAATGTTATAGATACGAAACATAAGTGAGTACTGTCAATAGTCATTCTGCTTTTACATAAAAAAAAAGGAAATTTAATCCTTTAATAAGAAAAAAGATTGTTATGACCTTCGGTTTGTTACTTGGAGATCATAATTGTGATTAGGAGTATAAGTTATTGTTTATTTGTTGCCAGGTAAAGCCCACAATCAATCAGGTGAATCTCGAGTCGTGCTGTGTAATGCCTAAGGACATGACAGATTATGCCAAGGAAAACGACATCCAGCTTCTCACTCACAATGACCCGCGAGGTACATCTCTCCTAAAGTATTGACGATTATCTCTATATATACCCCTTACAAACTAAGTTTGGAGGGGAGGTGTTATATAGGAATCACCCTGTCCATCCATCTGTCCATGACTTAACACAGTTAGAGTTCATCATATGTAGATGTGCATGAAGAAAAGAATTTGCGATATGTTTTTAGCGACGGGCCAAGTGAGCTTATGCTGTGGCGCAAAATAAACAAAAGACCTTGGGCGATGATATTTGGGGAGGAGCATGCTGTTTAAATGAATGATCTCCACACATATTCAAGGTCACAGGAGGTCGAATATGTTAAAAACTTTAAACAACTTCTTCTGAATAACCACAATGCCTAGGGTGATGATATATGGCCAGTAGCATACTGGTATGAATTACCTTTGCCTATCTTCAGGGTCATAGGGGACAAATATGTTGATTTTTTTAAACAAAGTCTTCTGAATAACCAAAAGGTCCTGGGTGATGATATTTGGCTAGTAATTTGCATGCATAATGGGCTACCAAGTTTGTTCAAATGAATGACCTTCACACATACTTACGGTCAAAGGGGTCAAATATGCTAAAAACTTAAAAAGACTTCTCCTAAATAAAAAAAGCTAGGATGATGATATTTAGCCAGTAGCATGCAGGGATGAAAGGTTTGAAAAACTTGTTCAAAAGAATGACCTTGAATTATATTCCACAGGGGTCAATATGTTAAAAACTTTTATCAACTTATATAACCTGTATATTCAAAATCAAAGGATGGTGATATGTGACCACTAGCATGCTCAAATGAAGAGCTATCAAGTTTGTGCATGTGAATGACCTTGGTGCAAGGTCACATCTGGTCAATTGTGTATAAATCTTGTGTAAGTCATCTTCTCAATAAACAAATGGTATAGGGTGGTGATATTTGGCAAGTTGCATTCATGGATGAGGGGTTTAAAGTTTATTCAATGGTATGTCCTTGTTTGACTTTCAAAGTCACAGGGGTCAAATGTGTTTAAATCTTTCAACAGTTTTTTTTGATAGACTTTGAGATAAGACAATGATATTTTGTATGTAGCTTAATTTTAGTACACTTTTAAGGTGACAGTTGTAAGATTAAGACCAGGTGAGCGGTGCAGGCCCATTGGGTTTCTTGTTTTGAAGTTATGACCATTGAAACTTTAAATTTCTGCTCCAGAAACCTTGTAAGCGAAGTTCCTCCTTAACTGTGTGTTGGATTTTTTTGTACTTTGGCACAGGGAAAGTACAGTACATAACATGTAGATGTACATGACGATAGGGATATTCAATCTGATTGTTACACCCCCTACAGACAAAGAGAGAGTATATAGGAATCACCTTGTCTGTTCATCTGTACAAGTAGGAGTATATGTTCGTGAGCTCGCTATTAGTTTCTCTAGTTTCTCCATGTAATGACTTATTGAAAAACCACAATATCCTGGAAATCACATTGAATATCAGACATCCTGACAATATATTACACCTTCAACATATACTAAAGACATTCTGATAGTTTATTTAACTTTCCACATCGTATTTCAGACATCCTGACAATTTAATTCACCTTCAACGTTATACTGAAGACATTCTGATTATAATACTTTCCACATTGTATTTCAGACATCCTGACCAACGACAAGGTGTCACAGCTGGTGTCAGCCAGGTGTACAGAGAAGGATGGTGAAGGATGGGAATCGGATTGGGCCATACGATTCTCAGTAATGGTCAGGTGTCGCGGTATCATCAAAACAAAGGGATATATTGTGAAAGCATCACGAGACACAACGAAAAAGAAGAGTCAACAATTGTTGCTGTAGAAGCTATTCCATCTCTACATCTAAACCTTTACAGTCTCTTAGTATCATAGGTGTTAATACATCTAGTTAAACCTTTACAGTCTCTTCGTATCATAGGTGTTAATACATCTAATTAAACCTTTACGGTCTCTTAGTATCATAGGTGTTACTACATCTAGTTAAACCTTTACAGTCTCTTAGTATCATAGGTGTTAATACATCTAGTTAAACCTTTAC